GCAACTGCTCGCCTTTTTTCTTGTTTTCTGTAGCTGTGAGAAACATCACACTTTGAAAAACTGTGAAAACTAAATGAGTCACTAAAGTCACAGTTTCCAGCCACACCTTTGCACAGATATTAAACTAGTTAAACTAGTCTGTCTTTTCAAAACGTGGTGCAAAATTCAAATAAAAGTAAGTACAGTAAGTAAAAGTCAGTAAGTAAAAGTCAGTAAAGTTTACTGCAATTTCATTCATTTGTAGGGCTGTCAAGCAAATACACATACAGAGATATATTATATACACACACTGAAATATTTACACTGCACCTTATCAATCAATCAATATACATCACAAATCAGTCTTATTACATATACTTGGTTTGCAGATATTGTTCTTCCAATATCTGCAAACCATCAAATGTCATATTCTACATGTGTACAGCTCAACTGTTGCTAAATACATCATAATTTTGAGCATAAAAAAAGTTCATAGGTCACTAAGCTTTTGAGCTGCTCTGCTCTCTGACCATCAGAGGGAGCCATACATCCATCACTATAAAAGTGATGGATGTAAAGTCACAAATGGAGACGCTCTTCTTAACACAAGCTGTGTTTGTCTGTCTTTTATGGAAAAAAGCAGTAATCAAGTTATTCCATTGCAGTTATGAACAAATGTTAATCTTTATTTCATTTATTTTGATTTTAAATGTCATTATTCAACGTTTGCCAGAAAATATGAGACAGCTCTGACACTGAAACATTAAATAACTGAGGATATCTAGATTTACTTACTCCTCTCCATTTATATTATTAATATTATAATCCTGAATGGCTCGTTTTTGGATGTGTGTGTATGTCTCTTACTGGCACTTCGATAGTGGAAGGTGTCTGTCCTCACTAGCTATTAAACCAACTGTATTATGAATAGGCACAAGAATGTAGAAAGGGACACATAGTCATATGCTAAAAAAAAAAAGAATCATTATGAGATGCACTGGTTTCTTTTATGCAATGTTCAAAGCTTAACAGAGCGGGATGGATTTGTCGTTGTCTTTGGTATTTTCAGACATGCCGGTTGAAACTCCCAGTTGTCCAAAAAGTCAGAGTCCCCATTTACTCTCATTTCGATGCAAAAAAATGGCCTCTAAGCCAATTTATCTCTTTATAAAAAAGTAGTATGGAGAGTCTTTTTTTACATTTTGGAAGTAAGAGCCGTGGTAGCTTTGATTGATAGGTGTCCCAGCGGCCTGTCTCTGCTAATTCCGTGTCCAAAAACCTCGTAATGTCACTTCTGACTCTATTTGTATTATAGTCTAATAAACATTCATACTACAGGATACAGAAAAAATGTCATTTTTTTGCATTAATCCTTAGTAAGATTTGACTGGAAGATTGTTTCTCTGCAGATGTTGGATGCAGCATCCTTAGGTTTTTCCAGCCAGTGTCAAATTCTCTCCGCAACTATAATGATTAAAGACCTTTACACATCACGATTGCTGCGTGACACAACATGTGGGTTTTTAATCCAACACTAACCTCAGCTGCAGAAAGCAACGACATTTTGATATTGTGCATAAATGTCATTAAAGGACACCTGTTAATCTTTGAAGTTGGAAAAAAACCCCACAGTGCTGAAGAAATATCACCATGCGTACAGTGACAAAACACAGAGGCTGTCTAGCTTCACTGGCATGAAGAATTTCTTCACACACGGCACGAATTGAGCAGTAGGGTGGATAGGTTTGGCACAGCGCAAACTTTGCATGAAGTGACTGACTTTGGTCTTTTCCCTTTACTAACAGCCAAAGACAACCTCACGATGTTGACTGGGACTCAACCCAACATGTGGCCTGCCTAAGCTGACCAAACTATGTAGAAGGTTCCCCTTTAGCCTTTTTTTTTCTTGTTTATTATCACCTTTTCATTTGTGATCTTTCTCTAATAATGGTACAACTTATGTTCTTTAAGCAAATAAAAATCCACCCAGTGTTACTAAATGTCTATACAGGAGAAGTTTGTGTACAGTCATTCAGTGCACAACAATAGCCAAAATATGAGAACCATTCATCCAAACAACTGGACACTGTACTTCCAAGATCAGTTGTTGAGGAACGCAAAGGAAAGACAGATGCTAACACGTGTATACAAAGAGTGAAGTTCTACTGGACTGTGTTAATGTGAAATGTATTTCTGATATTCTTTTTATGTTTGTAAATATCCAGAACATTAGCTAGACTTTCAGTGTAATGCAGTCCAGGACAAAATTATTACAAAGTACAGACTATGAGCATATAAACAAAGGGAGCTGACATGTTGGATTGCATTAGACTAAACAGGTTTACCCAATAGCATGATTGCTGAGTGCACTGCTTTTTTTTTTAGTCTTTTAGCAAGTCTACTGCAAATATACAGTATCACTGCTGCTTACAGTTAAAAGCTTGGTAAAGCTATGAGAGCTATTTAAGGCTTAAGGTACATATCTAGTTCTTATAAGGCCTTAAAATTATTTAAATACAACTTCATATAAACAACATGATACATAATTATTTAGGCATTATTTATTTAACAAAAACTATGTCAAAAAGCAGAAAAACTAAGTAGACTCCATTATTCAATGTCTTGGAACAACCTTTAGCGACAATAACTTGAATTAATTGTTTTCTATATGACTTTATAAGTCGTTCACACCATAGTGGAGGCATTTTGGGCTGCTGTTTTTCACTATGTTGCTTCATTTCATTGTGGTTTGCAGGATTTCGTTGCAAATCTCAGATGCACAGCTACCATATCTTGAGGTCTGGACAGGTGAGATTGAGGTCAAATATATGGACCGCTGCAGCATCTTGATTCTTTTCTTTTTTAGCCATTATGTTGTAGAGTTTTGCTGCTGTGGTCTGCATCATTGTTTTGGCCAAACCTGTCACGCAGATGGCTTCACATTTGATTTAGAATACTTTGGTATCAAGAGGAGCACAATAACTGCAAGGTGTCAAAGTCCTGTGGCTGCAAACCAAAGCAAACTCATCAGCCCTCCAGCACCGTGGATGACAGCTGGTATTGGTGTTGTGCTGATTATCTGTGCAGTGTGCATTATGGCCAGATTTCCACACTGTTCCAAAAACCTCGCGGTTTGTTCAGATAGAACTTGGACATTATCGTATTGACATGCTAACTGAGGCTCGTGAGTCTAAGAGGTTTGTCTTGTACTCTTGTTTGTTTGTTTGTTTGTTTTTTTGCAGTTTCTGTGAGCATTGCACAGTCTTGGAATGAATTTGCTAGGACATCCACTCCTGGGAAGACTGGCATCCATCTTGAATGTTTTGCATTTGTGAATAATCATTATCACTGTGGAACCGTGGCCTTTAAATAGCCTGGAAATTGACTGAATGGCAGCAACAGTAGCTTCTTTAATTTTGCAACAGTTCAGCAATCTGCCAACGCTCAAAATTCCTGCTTTTATATAAGTGGTCAGGCTACAGATGATCAGTTAATTGATTAGCAGTTCCTTGGTTTCTACATAACCTTTCACAAATTGCTTCTGCATTTTCATTAAAGTAAAAATTTAAAGCAGGTATACATTCTTTTTACCCTCCTAAACCTTTGAGAAGTAAATAATATTAATAGCAACAAGCAGATAATTAGTTAAAGCTGCCATAAAAACCTGTTGCACTGGAAACACGTAGCTAGAATCTGTGATTTAAAAAATACTTGTCAGTAAGAAAAGATCGCAAATTAATAAACATATTTTTTTGTTTTAATTTTGTATTTGTGCTTGGCAGCCTCTGTAGTAATACAAAAGCTGTACTGATCGGTTGTGGTGAAGAGAGCTAAGCATGAAAGCGAAGTTTTCGATTTACCTGTCATTTCTTGTTCCCATTTCGTGGTCGTGAGTTCTAGATAGTGACCAAAAGAATTAGTATGTGTATACAAGTGGTGGTAATTTTTTTTGATCATCCTGTCTCTGGGCTCTCCCTCAGAGACAGGATGAGGTGCTTGGTTATTTGAGAGGTTCTGAGCAGAGCTGCTATTCCTTCCCATCGAAAGAAGCCAGTTGGGGTGACTGACTAGGTTCCTGCTGGTTGCCTCCTAGGCAAGGTGTTTCGGGCATGTGCTACTGGGAGCAGGCCCCAGGGAAGAGCCAGGACTTGCTGCAGAGATCATATCTCTCAGCTGGCTCGGGAACAACTTGTCTTGCTCAGACTGCTGCCTGTGCATAATTTATGTTATTTTTATACTCACCTAAAAAATCTGTGACCCCCATTTGCCCCATGCATGGTGGAACTATTATCCAGAAAGATATTACTCCCAACAGGATGGAGCTATTTCATCATAGGCAAATGTTGATAACACCGAAAAGGTTTGTAGTGATTTGCAGCGACATTTCCTTTCAAGGGGAATAGTGAACCCAAAACATATGAGAAATGTCCCCTAGAGCAAAACAGAGCCACCTGATCCCCTCACTGAATGAGTGGCAAAGTGTTGTTGTCACTTCTGTGTAGCTCTCAGCAAGAAATCACTACTGTTACTGGTATTTCTAGCCTTTAATATGTTCTTTTTCAGGGATCAACTTTGCTGTCACACAATCGTCTTTCCATCCATCTCCTCACAACATCCCCTGGTGTCTGGCAGGGCTGCAGATATTCAAAGAATGCCTGACATGGCGTTTGGCCAGTCAGCACCACATACCTTTGGATGGCATGGCAGGGCTTAAGGGGAAATGTGGCGCATATGCCACTCAGCAGCCCTGTCTAAAGTCTACTAAGTGGCTTCAAACATGAACACTAATCCAGTCAGTGATGAGAAGGCCTCAGTCTGATAGTCGTGTAGCAGACTGCCAAGTCTGTCAAAGCACACTCTCAGGTTCAAACAGAACACAATGGAGAAAAACTCTGAAGTTCAAAGGGAATTGCAGCAGCTTTAATGAAACTGTATTTCCTTTGCAGGTATTTGTGTGTGATGAATCAATTTGTTCTTGCTTTTCCTCCTTTTTATGAAAAGTTTATTTCCAAAAGGTGATTCAGGACAGAGAACTCTGTCTTTGCTCTCTCTTTGTGCAAATAAATGTGACTACACATGTACACAGCAAGAGAGAGAGAGATGCAGATACTAATATAGATGTATTTACAGATATGTGCATTGCTAATCCATGCGCTCATACCTAAAGTACTACATTGAGAAACATGTATACAAAACTGAATTAACATTTTGAAAAGAGCAAAAGGCCTTTGCAGAAATATGAAGAAAGTTTTCCACGTCCTGTCTTGGATATAACAGCAACAGCAGCACTGCGACATATTTAGTGTTTCCAGAGTGTTGAAATTTTAGGTGAAGGAGGGTTTTCGCATATACGTATTGTGCAGATGTGAGCTGGTTAAAAATGGAAGGACCAACTGCAGCTGTCAAAGAGTGTTGATCTCTGCTAGCTATCTATCTATACACTTTCTCTGAGTGTGGCTGCCTCTATTTCTGCCCTTTTACATCTCTTTATTGATCTTTTATGCTAGAGTTCACCTTGAAATGTCCATATATTTTTACATGTGTGTCGTGGCCACAAATCATGTGCATATAGATGACTAGGCACTGTGATCTCATAAATTTGTTCATACAAACAGTGTATACATAATAACCATACACACATGCAAACATGTTCAAAAACTCACATGCACACTCATCTGTCGTCCACCCTTCAGTCCATCTATTCAGCTTTATAACTTGGGCTGTTTTTGTAACAAAACAAGCCCTAATCCTAAATTCAGGGAGCTGTGAATGTGCCTCAACAAATGGCAGACAAATGAGAAGGATTAGTGAGGGCCTGTGAAAGAGTGAAAGGTTTGCCATTGATCTACGGTGGTCCTGTTCTCTTTCAGGGCCACTCGGTTTGAAAACCCCACTGAGTAAGAGCATACAGGGCCACTCCAGAGCCCCCTAGGCCACCGAGAGACACACAACAGCCACAATTAGTCTCAGGAGCTGTAATGGCAATTCAATAAGCGCTTTAAAATTGTGCCTTAGTCTGTCTACCACCCCCCAACCCCTCCCACTTCTCCCATTTTCGTCTACATACATAAGATTGGTATTAAGAAGGGCTCTTTTTTTTTTCTCTTTCCCACCCACCACAGTTCTTTTCAGTCACTGTGAGAGAAAATGACCACACAGGGTTTCAAAGGTTCTAGAGGCTGTGGTTTGTTGTCGCTGAAGCAGCATGACTTGTGCCCCTGTAGATTTTGGCTGAGGCCCTCAAAATGGGCTTCTATTATTACTTTTTTTCTGTCAGTCAGCTGCAAATTTATTTTGTTGCCTACAAAGTTACCTTCTCTATGAACATTAATTGTGTTGGGTCATGCAGAATCCCATCTATTTGTTATGTTTTTACTGATGTGAAGACATACCGTACTATGATATAAGTATACAGATATTCCCATCAAATTCAAAATGTGAACCTTCTGAGGCCTTTCCAAAAACATGAACACATTACCTGCTGTGCAGCTTACCATGTGCTGTCTTTAGATACTTGTGCAACAACATCAGTGCGTGACTCACTCCCTCAGTCCTCTGCTTATGCGGGTTAGATCAAACACAGCCCAAACACCTGTGTTAGTGACATCAGCACGTCACTGCAGAGGAGGAGCTGAGGATGCGTTCTGGATGGCTGTCATTTGCATTCTCCTGAGGTCTTTTTCTTTGGGACATTCCTTGTTGATTTTGCACAGTGTTTAGGTTTTTCCTTTTGCTTCATGATCAAAGGCCAAAGCTTTTGATCAGGACTTCCAAAGGCTCCCCTCTTGTTTTGCTGGCGAGCACACTGACAGGACAGTGGTGGAGCAATGATAATTACAGCTCCCATTTGCTGTCCGTGGAACTGGCACCAACAGCCAGTCGCACCCTCAGGCCAAGGAGAAAGAGATTCTTGGACGGTTTAAGGAAGAAAGAGGAGAGGTAGAGCACAGGAGATGGAGGACACTGACAAAGAAGCGAGTCAATCAGGAGATCAGTCGGAAAATGGGATTTTTCTGTCCTGTGCAACCCTATTTTTGAATGGACTTTATAAAGTATAATAGCATATTAATAAAGCTTCAATAGCTTGTTAACATTCATGACCCTCCTCTTATTTACTTTCTAAATTTTATGTCAGCAGACAGTTAGATAATCTGAGAACAGACTAGAAATGGAGTAAAAAGTTCATCTAGTACTCTCCAGAGTTAAGGTAACGTTCTTTTAAGTGAAAGTTTTACTCACATCAGCAAGAACTGCAAATATTATTTACTTCTCAAAAATATAAGTGCACCTCTGGTGTGCACAGCAGAGAGGACAAAGACATTTACATGGCAACAGTACTGCCAGACCCCCCATACTGATATTCTGCGTCGCACCCAGACCGTCAGAGCTGAACTACAGTGTGACTTCACGCCATTCTGACCAGACATGTACCCCGTCACAGTAATCTCACATTATGACAGGCTGAAAGGTTGGCCTTTATTCACCCCAAACACCCACTATTCATGCCCGACTCTCCTTTCTGTTCACTGAAAAGACCGAGTGGCCTCCTGTGCCACCGAAGGTCTCGTCTGTGTGTAAATGATCTTGATGCTCGGCTGCATAGTTCATAACCACAGAGGTTTCATTAGACACGGGGAGGTCCTCCACATCAACGCCTCTCCCGCTGTGAGTTTCTTCATGATTATGATGAGAGGGGGATTATGTCGAAGTGCTGTGATGGAGATGTTACCAACTCTTAACAATCAGCGCCATAGCAGATAAAAATGCCATTGTGGCTCTTCATGACTAAAAAAAACTATTTAAATAAGGCTTGTAAGCACGTGAGCCGTGACTGCTGACGTATCCACATTTTTCTTTATTGAAGATTACCATGAACCAAGGCACTCAAATTACTTTACTCAACTGAAATGGATCCAGGGATTGTTTGTTCTGAGAATCTGTTGTTATATATATACACACACGGCTTTTAATTTCTATTGTGGAAAACTGCTTATGATAAATGGATCACAAACGTACCAACATCCAGTAGTAATACAAATTGAGCTGAATATGGACTGAATATTATTTTTTTCCCCTTATTTTAAACAGTAGGACTACAATCCAACATAAAAGTCAACAATAACAATAAACATCAACTTCAAACAGTTAAAGAGTATAAAAGTTTTAAATATATTAAATGTTCTATTAGCCTTGTTGTCGAGAAAACGTTAGAAAGACTTGAAAGAAGCAGATTGTAAAAACCATTTACTATGGCGTACAAAATTAATGGAGCTGCTGCTATGCAACGCGGTGTTTGCCTACTGCTGCTAGAAAGCGTTAAATGAGTCAAAGCAGATGTCAGCGATTTCACGACAGAATTAAAGACCAAAATTAAAAATTAAAGTTCTCTGTTATCTGATTTCTAATCTACTAACTGTAGGTTGAATGAGAGAAGCGGAGTGACAGAAGCATGCACAGACGTTGAAAGGGCATGTCAAGAAATCCAGCATGTTATCCCAGTAGTTAGCTTAGTTCCTGTCGTGTTCTTGACATATATCAACATATACACACAGAACAGTACAACTATCGTTGTGTTTGAGTCAGTACAATTCAACTGCACGTCATTATCTTTTTTCTAGTGGTGTCAGTTTTTTCCCAAGCAACAGTGAACATGTATAAAATTTGTACCATGGACTTTGCTGAGTAGAGGTTCCCCTTTTTTTTGATTCTTTGGAGTTTTCTCATTGCGTTTATTAACCCATTCATTATGATAATTTATCCCTATTTAAAAAAATATTGCATATCCATCCGTCAGCTCTCTTCCACTAATCCTCGTCAGGGTTTGTTGCATAAATGTAGTCATACTTAGCCTTACAAAAATGTTATTTCACACGCTGCATTGAAAACAGTGCTGGATGCAGTGTGAATACATAAAAAAATGTCTTTTCAGGTAGACCTGCACATGATGCAATGTAATGGTAAATTCACATGTGCATTTTTGTGAGGCTAAATATACAGCAAAATGAAGCCAAGCTGTTGGAACAGAGCTACTGTGCAGATGTTTTTAATAGTAGAATTTGATCCTGCCCACTGACTTATAAGGGTCTCTTTTAATAGTGATGTGTTTTCTTCACAAATCCAAATTTTATCATTTGGAAGCCCCTGTCTCGCTATCTCCCCTTCTGTCCTCTCACCTCAAACGTGCGCTACAAACACAGGTGGTTTGGTGGCAAGACAGATGTCTGAACGTAACGTAGTTCTACTCTATTGTGCTGTATTACTGAACATCATTAGAAAATGCAGAAAATAACTTAAGAGTAGATATTATACTACCTCTACAAATGTTACAGACCTCAGCAAATGTACATTTATCTGACAAGAGGATGGAATAATAAAAATACACATTGTGTCACAGCCACATCAACACTAGTCCTCGGAAGGAGGTGAGCCATCCAGTTGTTGGTCAGAGTTCAGACTTGGACTGCTACGAGGGGAGCATAGGCAGGAAATGAGTAGATGGGTGTCTACGTCTAGCCTTGTGGCCCCGCCTCGGTTTACCGCGCCCATTCAGCGAAACAAACATTTGCCTGCCGCTGTGTTTCCAGCGAAGCGAAGCATATGTATTGTAGCCGTTCTCCTCAATGCGTTCTTTAAACTTGCAGCTCGGGTTGTACTTCACCTGTGATTGCAGGAAGAAAGAGAAGAGACATTAAAGAGGGTGTGAGCAATTAACCTACTGCTAACAGCTGACTGCTGTTCCTTCTCTGTACAAGGCCAGCTTTCAAGTGTACAAAGGTTAATGACAGTTGCTGTAGTAAAAGATTTCCAGGTGTTTGCAGTATATACAGTGAGTTTATCCACTGTAGTGATCTGGGTTGTTTTTCTCAGACAGTGGAAGTAAGAATTAAAGGGTTGGTTAACCCAAATTTGAAAAGAATTTCCCAATCCTCACCCTTTAGAAGACATTCACCTCTTAAATATCTTTTCCATCATTTCTGTGCAGTTTATTTTAGAGGATAGGAACAGGCTTTGCATTCCAGAAACAATATTCTGGTTATTTGAGATATGTTTACACCTGACATTTTCATTTTCTTTGGGACCATTTTCTAAAAAGTGATCTTTGACAGAGACACATGATGGTGAGTTCTGTGAAATATCTTGGTTAACTGGGACATTATTATTGGAAGGACATATTCATTTCTGTTCGCTTACGTCGAATTGAAACCTTAGACACGAGAGCTTAAAACACTTGCAAATGTGAAAAGACGTGAGTGTGACAAAGCGGGTGGCTGGTGTGTGTCTTTATTTGTGATTTGGGTTAACTGAACCTTGAGTGTTCTCAAATTAATCACATTATAACAATAAAACAAAGTTTTTTTCTTAAAGGCACTTAAAAATTCAACCTTCAGCAAAGCCACTTTTCCACGGGTGGTTACAGCTTCTTATCAGTAAGGGTCTCAAAAGATGTCGCAGTTACAAGAGGCTCTGCTGCATTCCCTTTTCCAGATTGTTATCAGGCTCCTGTAACGAGGCCTTCTCTGTGATAGCATCGGGATAAAGTGAGCATGCCGTGATTCATCTGCCATTTTGTAAAGTCCTCCATCGGGTCTATTTATGTCCTATTTTGTGTGTTAGATGGTCGGAGGCACTTGTCTTATCACTCATCCCTGATGTTTTCGTCTTCAAGCTTTAAGTACACGAGCTAGACACCACACACCTCAGTTCTGAACTGTGCTTGAGTTTAACAATGAGTGGTGATTACTTTTGAAAGCTGCTTTGCAAAACAACAATTGGCAGATGGCACGCAAGGACTTACATGAACCCAGCTGGCTATTTGTCATTGCTGCTTAGGTTTCTTTTTTCTGCTGTCTGTTTTGATGGTGGAGCAAGCCAGCTCAAGCTTCTGTATAGTCAGACAAGGTGCAGGTGTACAGCCATGATTGATTATAACAGTCTGACATCTCTCTGAACTTTCCATCAGAAGATTTCTCAGATTTTCCCTCTCTTCGGGAACATCAAACATAGGGTGGCATTCATTTGGGACTCATATATATCCTGCAACCCCAACAACTTTCCTTCCCTGTCCAGAAGTCTTGACCTCCAGAAAAATGTTGCCAGGTTGTATACGCACCGATCCAAAGAGCGTGCCTTTCTTGGACATAGCTAAGTACAGCCCGGTGCTGACAGATTTGATGGCAACAACTCCCACACTGACAGATCGGATTTCCATCAAGCCTGGAAAATAAAAGGAGAACAAGGGGCAAGGTTAGAAAGATCCAGATTTGGGAACTTCTTCCATCAAAAGTCATTCTATCATTAGTGATTAGTTTATCAGACGGCCATATGCTCTGAGGAGAGAGAGTCCAGGACACTCATAAAGGTTTCATTTCAAAATATATGTTTAAAAGGAAAAGGAAAAAAAAGGAAACTAGTAATATTAAACTATTAACTGCATCCTGAGGGAGATGGGGGTTTATAAAAGATTAGATTATAGCCAATCTACAACACATGGATTTCAGAGTCCAGGACAAAAAGCTCACATACAGGCAGGACATGTACAAGAGTCTCACAAAAAATTGCAATCCTATCAGATCACCTCAGACGCTTGAGAGACTTCTGACTGCCCTCCAAGGTGCTCAGGAACTTTTACTCGTGCACCATAGAGAGCATCCTGACGGGAAACATCTTAACCTGGTTCGGGAACAGCACCATGCAGGACAGACGAGCTCTACAGAGGGTTGTGCGATCAGCTGAGCGCACCATCCGCTTTGAGCTCCCTGACCTGCACTCAGTCTACAGCAGGCGGTGCTGGACCAAGGCCAGGAAGATCGTGAAGGACCTCAGCCATCCCAACAACGGACCGTTCTCTCTGTTGAGGTCAGGAAAGCGATTCCGCTCCCTGAAGACCAACACAGAGACTGAGGAGGAGCTTCTTCACGCAGGCGATACGGTCTCTCAATCACACCACCACACAGTACTGACCCACACATATGGTTCTTACACACACACTGAACATTCTGGACATTTGTTTACACTAGTGGCCACTGCACAACCACACTGCGTGGTCATCAAATCGAATCACTTTATCACAAGTCACTTAAACAAATCACTTTAAGCATATTTGTACTGCACCAGACACTTACACATGTGGATTGCACAACCCTGGACATTATATTTCTTCATTACCATTTAGTACTTGTACAGCTGCTGTTATTGTTCTATATTTCTTCGTATATTCTTATATATTTCTATACTGTGTATTTGTGTATTGTGTATTTTGTTGTACAGTTATTTTATTTTTAACTTCAATTTTTATTTTTTATTTTTTTCCTTCCTAGTTAAATTTACCCTTCATTTTAATTTTCATATTTATTTCCTATCCTATTCATAGTCTTCTTTTCTTTAGGTCACGAGCAGTTGTCTAAGCATTTCACTGCATATCGTATTGTGTATGACTGTGTATGTGACAAATAAAATTTGAATTTGAATTTGGTTATAATTACATTTTCATGGAAGCTTAATTAAGCAATGTTTCACCCATATGTTGAGAAAACAAACATACGGGTGAAACATATGGTGATGACTGAGCGCTACAGAGCAGGTTCGTTAACACAAAGCATCAAAGCAAAACATTTATGTAAAAGATTTTTTATGATTGAGTTATTTGAATTACTTGACGAATCATTGCAGCCCTACTATCAGTCATACTTAAATGTGAACATAAGCATCCTGCCGAATTGCATCCATGCAACTCTCCAGAAGCAGCCCTCACAATCATGCTTTGGTCATGCTGCTGTTGTTTACTGTCTCTGGTGGTAACTTATGTCACCCTGCGAAAACCTCCAAGGTGAAGGTTTCTACCTAGTTGTTTTTAGAGATGTCCTGTCTTACCACAGCATCCTTAATAGGAGCTAATTAATAGAGATTAATGCTTCTTTTGATTTTTCTTCCTTACTTTACCTGCAAATAATCTCAAAAGCACTTTGATGTCTTGGTTTGTTGGGTGCAAATCCTTTTTTCTTATGCCTTGTAAACCAGAGAAGCAGAAAAGATGCTTTCTTTTCTGTTGCTAAAAGGCCACAGTTGGATATTTGTAAGAAAAAGAAAGATTTCTTAGCTTTGGACAGAAGTGGGTATACACAACACTAGATCAAGGTGCTGAAGTTCTGCATGAGGCAAGCTGGTAGGAAATGAGTGATGGTGATGAGTCATAAAAGCAGCATTGGGCCACAGGTCTCCCAACTGACCAATCCTCTTCTGTTTTGGTAGAACCACAAGTCTTGTACAGGGCAGTGACTGAACAAAGTTCCTGAATAGTTCTGATGAAAAAGAAATGCAAATAACAGAATAACAGTGGCTTTGCAGGTGCTGCACTGTAGTGTGTTTTTAAAGTCTGTTTATTTGTGCAGTTATTTGTACAGGACGGTTCAGATACTAAGTGCAAATGCTAATCTTAACATTTAGACTGAATAATATGAGTTGTATAAATAATAATAATAATAATAATGCATCTCCTTGATTTTTCAGACCTTTGGTTCCTGCTTAGTATACCTCTACCTAAATTGTTCACTAATAATGGAACTATACTTCTTTCTAAACATAAACTAATAGGAAAAATTCTTGAGCCACCTATAATTTTATTATATTTTGTTTCCAAGAAGCCAATTTTTTCTCAAGGAGGTGAGCGAACCCAAGACTAATCGTCTTGTTTAATAGTTCTCCATGCTTTCTAAGAGTCTTTCAATTTTGTTCACTGCTTTTTCACTCATTTTCATACAGTCCTCGTATTTGACCATTTTCATGGGAATTATATTATTCATTAATCTACCTAACACTGGCCTATGAATATTTCAAACATTAAAAAAGGCTCCATATTCAAGGGATGAGCCAGTGTTTTGTCTATACATAATTGACAACTTAGCAAAGAACCGTTTGTAACTGATATCTTTAGCCACTCTGTTACTAGGAGCCTGTCAAAAACATTATTTGTTCTCATTTCTGTATTTGTATTTACAGTTTGACAGACATAAAATAGTATTTTTTGCGCCAACAAGTTTTGCTAAACAGCTATTAGTCTAAAACTTGATACATTTCACCATGGTGTGCATCACACTTTTAAAAGATTTGAGGAAACTAGACTAATAAAAATAAAAAACAAATTGAGGACAATACATGAATGTTAGGCCTTATAAAACTATCAGATGAACTGTATCTGAAAGTCACGTACTTATGAAACAGGAAAAAAAATCTAGCAAAGACCTGAGATATGGCCTAAGAGATGCATCTGGCTCTTCAGTTGATCCATCTACTGTTTACTGAAGCTTCATCAGAAATGGTCTCAGTGGAAGATGTCTGTCAAGAAGTCATTCTTGGGGAAAAAGCTGAGGTACGCCAAATTACCCAAGAACCTGACTGAAATTCAGTTCCAATAGGAATGTTGGAGTGAAGTATCCAAATTTGAAATTTTTGGCTCCAATTTGTACTAAGGAGGTCAGTACAGAGGCACCCCAACGCTCACCATTGATAGTAACCAAAACCTTTCTGTCTGTGCACATTTGTGCATTTCAGTATTAAAGACAAAATGATAGCATCTCTGCGTAATCATATACAAATGACAGCACAATACAAAATTGCATATAGATTATGCCCCCAGGCGGCTATCAGTGCCATCAGACTAATGTTGCTGCTCTAACACAGAACATCTGCAGAGCTGTAAAAACTTTAAGCACAGAAATGGTAAATGGCCTGTATTTGTATTGCACAGAAATATCTGACATCAGGGATTTTTTTGCCCTGAACATCACTAGTCATGTTTACCAAGTGAAGTCATAGTCTATATGAGGTGATACAAAGAAGTACAGAGTAAAAAAAAAAAAAAAAAAAAAGGGGGAAGGGGGGTAAAGTACACAAACCCCTGTTGAGTGTTTTTCTTCTCTGACTGGAGCACGTAAATTAAACTCTCTCCCTGCTCGTGCAAAGCTGTAGGCTAGGAGTCCATCCAGGTATCAGCTGCCCAGCTGTACCCGCATCATTCCTCATTGTCTCTGCTCCTCCAAGAAAACATTGCCACTTTGATGGTAGCCTCCTTTTTATGAGTGCTGTTTACAAACACCGGGTGTGCTATGGTGGCACCTGGAGCGTGCAAGGGACTCATCAGCAATTAGCTGAGCCTCTGCTGGTGATTGTTGCACTGCAAGGGTTTATGGGGGATTAGTGCAGGCCAATGAAAACCGTTGGTGCCTGAAAGTGGTGCCAGCAGTAATTGTCGTTATTTGCTGGCTTGAGTTCCAGGCACAGTAGGTGTGATGGAAGCATGTTTGTCACGTCGGAGACAATGCAGGGACCTGAATGTAAAGAGCTACGTTTGCTCAGGTTTAACATATCAGGTTTAAAGCAAATATGGGTGAGGAGCATAATTATAAAGGGCCTTGGGGCAATTTGCCGCTATAGAAATAAAGTTAAATTGAATTTTAATGTTGGGACATAAAAAATAAACTATATATATTGAAGAACTCATTGTATTTTTTTCTTATTTTAATAGATCTTGCAATGGGTTTGGGCGTTCTCTAGAAGGAATTTATTAAGGAACACCTTAAATATTCTCCTGGCCTACTCCAGGTCTCATGCGCTACACTTTATTCAGTTTATTCGTACTCATTGTTGTAGCCGGTAGACACAAAAGATCTGAGGATATGGAATGGGGATTTCACATTGTCTAGAAGAATCACTTGGGCTCTGGACGCTTGACCACACATCTATAAAGACCAGTTAGATCCATATAACTCACAGTCCCCCCTTTGAAAAGTCACTCCATTGTGTTCAAAGCCTGAGAAACCAGAGTGAGGTATTTCAAGCTATTAGAGAGCTTATTCTAACTGCTGAAATCCAAAGGTCAGTTTGGTGGAGTGCTCTACGCTCACAGAAAGAATAATGTTGACATAGGTTTACAGGCACTACGCGTTTTTATCTGTAACTGTTGTATTGATTGAAGTCAGTTTGCTAAAATTAGATAGTCATGAGGATATGGCCTCTGCAAATCAGATTAAATTCCGTTTGACAAATTGCCCCTGTTTCTGGATGTGTCTAACATTTTGAAATTCAGTAAGGCAGTGATTCAGTACTTCATAAAACTTGTTTTGATTGATCACTACACTTTGAGATAATGATATATATAAATATATATAGTTGTGAGTAATTTCTTATTCAAAAATCTGCTTCAAATGTCGAACAAAATC